GGATTCGACCTGTTTGTCCAGATCTAAGCTGAACCAGTTTGTCTCCACTGGTCAGACTGGAACCATTAAACTAAATAAACAATAATAAACAGGTAAACAGGTTACCATGACAACAGGTGTGTTTATTTCCTCCTCTGCTGGTTCTCATTGACTTTATTGATTTTATTGATTTTATTGATTTTATTGATTTTAGACGGAATTTAATTTACAAACTATTTTATTGTTTCATCTACATCCGGTCCCTGCTAATGACTGATACACTGTTCATCACTCTACTGACTGACTGACTGACTGACTGATTGATTGATTGATTGATTGATTGATTGATTGATTGATTGATTGATTGATTGATTGATTGATTATCGGAACAACTCAGTTCTCTGAACTTTAAATGACCTCTATTTAACTCTACAGCTGATGGTTCTGGTTCCTCCAAACAGAACCTCACAACCACTTAAAGCAGTGAAACATCCGATCACCGGATCAACACCGGTATCGATCAGCTGCTCACCTCCCGGGCGATCTGGTTCAGGGCATCGTCCTCGGCCGTCAGCTTGTCCCGGTTCGGGATCCTCTTCCTGCCCGGCCCCTGGGTGCCCATGGTGGCGGCGGGACCGGAGCCGGAGGCCGGATGATCCACTGCGCTGCCGGTCCGGAGCTCCGGTCCGCAAAGACTCCGAACGAACCGGGTCGAGATTAAAAACGGGCTCCTTCTGCTGCTATTCGGGCCGCGCAGCCGGTGCCGGTCCTGGATCCCGTCCGGTCCTCATGTCTGGATCCTGTAGAGGATTTTACGTGGAGCCGAACTATCCGCAGGGGTCTCTGTTAGCCCGCCAGGTTCCGACCCGGAAGCTGAAACGGTGAAAATACCGAAAAAACCCGCTCAGGTTCACAAACCGGTGATTTGTTAACGAGGTTCTGCGCTCAGCTGAGTCCCGCAGTCCTCATCCCGCTGGTGTACCGGCGACAGACGGACCCGCACCGGTCCTGTCCGGTCCGCAACCCGCACAGCTCCGGTAAACCGCTGTGGGTCCAGGAGGTTCTGCTGCTGCTGCCCGGCTCTGAGGGCCGGTCTGCCGCAGCTAGCTGCAGTTAGCGGCCGCCACCGGAGCTCCGGGCGGACGCGGATCAGCGCTGTGGCCGGAGGCAGAGACGCTCAGCGCGGCGTCGGTACAGCGGCCGGTCCGCTCCTCAGGCCGCCTGCTCCAGGCAGCTCCGCAGCCACAGCCGGTTCTGGTTCCCCGCGGGACGTGAAGGGAGCGCGGTGACGCCGTCAGGTGAGCCGCAGGTGAGCCGCAGGTCCGTGAACGCAGCACGACAAGACGCCGCAGTGACGGCGCACAGAGCAGGCTTTTATTGTGGAGGAGCCCCTTCCGCCAAGCGAACAGATAGACCGGAACATAGATAATAAAGGCCTTTATTGTGTGTATCTATGGACCGGAAGCTGTGCTTCACAGTAAGATCCAATCAGAACTACTTCCTGTTGCTACGTGTGACCGCATGAGTTCTTCTCCCCGTTCTGCTTCAGAACCGGACAGAAGAACATCCGCGAAGCCTATTAGTGTGAAATCAATAAATCAGATCAACACGGAAATAGAACGTTCCAGTACCGGAAGTAGTCGTTATAACCAGCCTAACTTGACAAACTGAGACAATAAAAGCGTTTCATCCATAAAGAGTCCCGAAAGACCAGAAAACCAGGCGACCCGGAAGTGTCCCAGAGCTGCAGCGGCACCGGTCCCAGCGGTTCTGCCTCCACAGAGCTCCACAGAGAACCCAACACAGCTCCAGAACCGCTCAGAGGGGTTGGTTTGGTGGTCAGACCCAGAGATCTGGTGCCGATAAAACCTCAAAGTGTGACGTCAGGGGGCGGGGCTGCTTGATTGACAGGTGGTCCGGACAGGCAGCCATGACGTCACTCCTGATATATTAACTTAATTAGTCTATGACGTAATAACTGAATTCGTGGTGTGGGTGGAGCAGCAGCATGTGGGCCTGTGTTCGCCACACTTCCCCGTACTTGTTGGACCAGAACCACTGAACGGACCGCTTTCCTACTGGTGCCGGTTTTACTTTGAGCTTCAGCCTCAGACGTCATGTGAGTCGGTCCAGTTTAGTTCTGTGTACTGACCAGAGGAGAGCGTTAGCATCCAGTAGGTATTAGCTTTGATGTGAGTTAGCGATGCTAACCGAGCTAGCTGGTTAAGCTAACCATGTCCGTGTTGCGTTCACTGTCATGTGGAAGTTTCCAGTGAGCTTACCTGTAAAGTCGATGAATCACATAAAGAACTGATCGAATTTGTGTCGTCAATAATCACAGTCTGATGTTTGTTTTAAAGGATCGATAACTGATCAGAGTTTATTGATAGTTTATTGATCAGAAAGCCAAACACACACAGCAGCAGAACCCCTCCATCGATAATCAATCAGTCAGAGAAAGCAATCAGATCAGTAACGATGATCAATACCGGCCGGTCACATCGATCAGCACTTCATCAGGAGACCTGATCAATCACTGCTCCACAGCTGATCGACTGTATTGATCAGAACTCAGACTTTCATCACAAACAGCAGAAGTTTGGTCACATCATCAATTCACTTTGAGTCCAACAAAATAAATTCTTTTTCTTCGTTTTTATTAATTTTCCAGATTTTAAAAAATGTTTTTAAATATTTTTGGTGTAATTTCACACAAAATTCTACTTTTTATTCTGTTTTATTTTGATATTTATGGAAAGAAAATCAAACTTTTATCTCAGACTTCATGACTTATGAGTTTTTCTGCATTTTAAACATTTAAAGTCATTTGATTTAATCTGAAATAAACACATAGAGGTGGAAACATGTATATATATATATATATATATGTGTGTGTGTGTGTGTCTGTCATTTAGTCTCACTTTAGATAAATGACAGAAATCCAAACGGTTCTGATGTTTGTGTTTGAGCTGCGATCAAAGGTTCTGAGACTTTGGGTCCATTTGTGGTGAATCCAAAGGTGTTCTAAGCTGAACAGGCAGCAGAACAGCTGAGCTGGTTCCTTCTTGTTCTATCTGGTTCTACCTGGTTCCATCTGGTCCTGCCTGGTTCTACATGGTTCTATCTGGTTCCATCTGGTTCTACTTGGTTCTACCTGGTTCCATCTGGTTCTGCCTGGTTCTACCTGGTTCTATCTGACTTTGTGTCTCTGATCAGGATCGCTCAGCATCGGTTTGCTGTCACGTTCTGAGGAGAACATTCACTTGAACGGTGAAGGAACGTTCTCCTTCCTCGTCTCCTCCCAGACTGAAGTCTCACAACGTTCTGATCGCAGTGCGCACATTTCTCTTCCTAACGTTAGGTTTCGTATTTATTTTAGCTTTTGAGGTAAAATACTACAGATAGCGTCGTCTGGTGTCTCTGTGGGTTCTGGACAGAACCAGCTGAAGTTCTGTGAGGATCCAGCAGCAGCAGGTGGCGTCAGCCTCAGAACATGTTGTTGGTTTTCCACTGAGCTCCGTTAGCTTCTGTCAACACAACAACAGTCACACCTTCAACACAATGCTGCTGGAAGAACACAAGCAGACACAACGAGATGAAGACAAAACGAACTGCTGAAACAACAATGAGCTACAAACAGAAACTGGCCGCACAGATACAGAACCACATGCGTCTTACTGGGTAAATCCTGCGTCGCCTTTTTCCTCTGATGAGATCCAGAAACCTGCGTTTTCACAAACGAGACACGAATGAACATAAACACAAGAAACACCTTCAGCACAAAGATTCAAACCAGCTTTTATTTCAACACGGTGGGAAAAGAAAACGTCGTTTTATTTTACTGTCTGTTGGAAATTTATGCAAATGAGTGCATGTTTTATGAGATAAGACCTAATTTGCATTTTTCAACATAAAACTTAAGTTGTGACAGAAATACTTTTGTCTTTTTGGTCTTAATAAGGTGAAAATGTGAAATATTTGGTTTTTACTGAAAATATCCTTCAGATTGTTTCTCTAGTTAGTTTTTACTCATAATCTTTATTTTTATTTCAAAACATTTAGTTGACATTTTATGACTTATTTATTATTTTTGAAGCTTTTGATACATTTTTTAAATGATTTTTTGATATTTGTGATTTTAAAAGTATTTGATCACATCAATATAATAGTTTCAGACATTTTATTCGTTTTCTTACATTTTTCTGAAACTTTAGTTGTGATTTTAAAGTTCTTGCAGCTACTGTGATAAAAACATTCTCCGGTCAGACAGGAGATAACGGATCATCGTTTCTGCTGCCGCCAGACGTCTGGACTGATTTTGATTTCTCACCTTCTTCTTGGATCCGACGGCGCTCAGAACTGCGATTTTCGTCTCGATGTCGGAAACCTGCAGAGCAGAAACATCAGAATCAGAACTCAGCGCTGCAGAACCTGAACTGTTTCATTCACACCACAGGTGGAACCACGCGGAACCTATTTGTTCTCAGGAAGTTCTACAAAGTTCTAGGACGGTTGTTTTTCATTCCCTGAATGTTCTTTAGGGCTGATAAGTTCTCCAAACATCCTCTGAACGTTGACGTGAGAACGTTCTGTCTTTGCCTGAATGGAACATTACTCGAGATGATAAATATCCTTAAAACGTTCTCACAAAGTTCTTCTGAATGGCAGGATGAGGTTCCTCCGTTTTCATCATGTAACACTGCAGAACATTGTGAGAACGTTTAGTAGATCCTCCTATATGGAGTTCCACATCCTCTGCAGGCAGAACATTACACTTTTGTTAAAATATCACGTCACAGGAACATTTATAAAAATCAGATGATCAGTAACAACTGAAGACATTTGTTCTTCTATGGAACATAACCTGTGGCCTGAGAACATTGTGAGAACGTTCTCTGAGTGTTAATTGCCGGGGGAGTGTGTGGTGGCCGAACCTTGGGGCCCCATGGTGCTCGGGCGAGCACAGCCTGAAGAAGTAACATGGGGCCACTGCTCAGAGGGCCCACTACCCTCAGGGCAGAAGATTGGGGTCGGGTGCTATGCCCACCAGGTGGTACGTAGGAGCGTCCTGGCGTACCGCCCCCTGGTGGCGTAGACAAGCTCTGGGGACGTGGAACATCGCCACTGTTGGAGAAGGAG